AATTTGTCGCTATATGGATTAATAAGTAAAAGTAATACATTTTATGCCCAAGTAAGCAGATGACGAGTCTTACTCGTCAAATGTACCGAAAGGGTTAGTTACTCGGCGGCTACCGGTCTCGTTCGGGACGAACCTTGAACGCGAATGGAAACCTACCGGATTCGAAGCCCGGAGAGGCTTCGTCGATCACAACCTCTATGGTAGTGCGGCACAACGCGCCTATCTTTTTTTTTATTGAACAGTCGCTCTCACGTCCCGGCTCCGCCGGGCGGTAGTTGCCCCCACGATTCGGATGCACAGAACCAAAAATCGGTTGCAACAGTAATCTGAAGCCGCGCAATGACCTGGTTATCATTTTTGCCGGTGTAGTTTGATTGTGTTGCTCCGGTGCTGATCAGAAGATACGTTAAAATAATCTAGTCAGGGAGAGCTCTTTTCGATTAACAATAATCCTTTACTGAATTCATATTCATTTATTGACTCATGTCAATAGATATGTGAGATGAGTCACGTGTATGTCCTACGTTAGTACGGTGGGATACCTGATAAATCCGTCTTGCGGTATGTGAGTCGGGTAGTCGCCGTGCATCTTGACTCTCGGGAGCCCGATGATGTGAAACTGTCTGCTTCGGCGGTCCTCGTATGCGATACGTGCTCTTCTGAGTACTACAGCTAAGGTTTGCAGGTATGCAGGCGGCTTTTTAGTCTCGCGGGTCAAGTACACTCGAAAATTGCGTTGCTTGAGGTCCTCGGCGTTAAAATACTGCGCCGGGAACTCGGCGTCGAGGTGCTGTGTCGGGAGTTCGGCGTTGAAGTGCCGCACCGGGAGTTCGGTGACGAGGTGCTGCACCGCGAGCTCGGCATTGACGAGGAAGGTGCGCTGTCGAGAAAAGGGCGCTGCTGAAAAGGTGCGCTACCAAAGAGATGCGCTGCCGAAGACGAGCGCGCTGCTGCTGATACTGACGGAGCGCTGGCTGAAGATGGTGCGTTGTTGGAGAGGCGCGCTGATGCTGATATGCTGACGGAGTGCTGGCTGAAGACGGAGCGTCGTTGCCGCTGCTTGATGATACAGTAGTTCTTTCTCGTCCGTAGCGATGTCCTTGAGGCAGTGTAACCGATAAGGAAGTTTGCTGAGCCTGTTGGCCGAGAGGTTTTGGCGAAGGAGGAAAAAATCCTCGCCCGAGCCAGGTCCAGCTGAGAGGAAAAAGCTACGACCTTTGCTCCGTGCTTGGGAAGCGCACACCATATAAGCCTGTTTTTTCTAAAAAAAGTTAAGGTAAGGTGTGTTGCGGCTTTGAACCGGAAACACTTCGTGTCGAGTCTCTCGTTGTACCGCCTTATACAGGGTGCGGCGAAAGGTATGCCCTCATTCTGGAGAGCAATCAATAAAATACTATTAAATGTAGAGGATTGGAAATTTTTTTATTACCTTTGGTACTTCAAACAGTTTTTTTACATTAACGTTTAAAAACGATATCTGCAAGATGGCGGCCTCCAGTAGCAATGCACTGATGTAGCCGATTTTGGAAGCTTCGGGCTGCGTTTTGGCACATCTGAATCGGAATGGCGTTCACCTCTTCGATGATTCTCCTTTTCAGTTCTTGTAGGGTATGGGGACGATGCTTGAAGACTTTTTCTTTCAGATACCCCCACAAGAAAAAGTCACAAATGCTCAAATCGGGCGATCTTGCTGGCCACCCCAAATCACCCCTCAGAGAGACGAGTCGAGTAGGGAACATTTGCCTCAGTTTCGCCATAGAAATGCGGGCTGTATGCGCTGTTGCTCCATCTTGTT